ATTATTTTTCTTTATCGAAACTTCTAATTGTTCTCTGGTTGAGAACTCTTTTTAAGAGTCCTCTGAACCCAACATAATGGAGACTTCTCAATCCTCATAACTTAGAAATAAAAATTAATGATGATGGAGTAACAAATAAACAAAGTCTTGAATTCTACATTTTAGGGACACTTAAAGCTACAACTAGAATATGTTTGCAACAACTAAGACGGTTAATAAATGTTCGTATAACATTTCAGACATTTACCTTGACCATGGTTACGTAAAAAAAAGATTACGTTAAAAAAAAAGAAGAACAAGATTAGCAAATGGAAATTCAATTTAGGACACTCTGCAAGGTCCCAAAAAAAACAATAGCAACACTTTTAAAAACCATAAAATACAAAATGTAAATAACACGAAGTTCAGTTACAAATGTAAGACAAATTCATAAGAGTTCCAAATTAAATATGGTATTCATTTCAAGATAGTAAAAAGAGATATAAAAGGCATCAGCTTGAATCCACAATGCATCAGCTTCCTTACTCTTGAGGAGTAGAAACATTCAAGAGTTTTCAATGTAAAATGTAGATGTAAAAAGCATAATAATTTCAAAAATCCTTCACATAGAGAAGACAAATAACTGAATTCATACAAATAAAATAACATTTGCAAGCACTAACATAATGCAGAGGAAGATGAATAAATATAGTTATAGTCATAAAATAACATTTGCAGGCACCAACATTTGAAGACAAGAAACTCATAAAAATTATAAGAGTTACAAAACACAATTGCCTAAAAAAAATAAAACTCGTCCTCCATCCTCAGATAGCTCGAAGCTCGTAGCTCGTCCTCCGTCCTGGCGTCCTCCATCCTCAGATAGCTCGAAGCTCGTAGCTCACTTCAAAGCTCATCCTCCGTCCTCCGTCCTCCGTCCTCCGTCCTCAGATACTTCAAAGCTTGTCCTCCGTCCTCAGATACTCACCAATATCCGCCTGGTGAAGCACCACAATACCATTAGGGTCCAATTTCCTGCAATCCTGAGTGGACTTAGCAGCCACGCCAAAACCCAGGGGCACATCGGACATGGAAAACACCACAACCCCATCACCAGGCGAAATGCTCTCTGTAATCCTTCCCAAGGCACTCTTCAAAACATGATCCCGTACAAGAAAGACATCTCCGACTGGATTTCAGCCAGACCTTGTGCCTAGCATTAGCAGCCAACAAGTTCAGAGCCTGAACTGTGAGATGAAAATTACCTCGTGAGTATATTTGCCGATGCAAGTGCCGAGAGAAACGAGGTTGGGTCGGGCTATGTTGGTGGCGCGCTTGACGAAGGATTCGCTGACGTAGTAGACTTTGTTCTTGTTGAGGCGGAAGCAATAGCGGCCAGGGTTGGAATCGGGACCTTCATGGGAGGGATTTTCAACGATGCTCCTGAGATTGTTTCCGACGAATTTGAAGAGCCTTTCGAGCACTGCAGTTGTCTCAGCCTCGTCCAACGGTCTCATCTCCACCTATGAAGACGCTCCTCTTCCGCCGACCAGTTTAGCTCTTCAGAGTTCAAGCCCGAACCCTAAAAAACGCACGAAGGAAAGCCTCTCACGGTCGGCGGTCGGTTGGAAAGTAACGAGTATATAAATAAATCCTTTCTTTTTTCAAGCTTTAGCTTGCCGCTTTGTACTCCAAAAAAAAAAATAAATATATATATATGTGTGTGCGCACACACGCATGTCTCCAAAAATATATATATATATTAATAAAAAAGACAAATAAATATTTTGATATTTGATTATTTAGGAAAAATAATTTTTGTTCCTTCCTTTGAACAGGTCCAAAGCTTGTGGCGGCATGGATATTGTTGGACTTGTTTAGAGTTTTGTTCAAAACAGATTTTTAAGGAAGTTAATGTAAGTCAAAACAAAACTCTCCTCATATGTTTATCTTGTTTTTGGTAAATCATATTTAAAAAGTTACTCATAAATCAATCTAAACAAGTCCATAATTACATGTGACGGGAGACAGTGACTTTGTTTAATTGATTTAAGTTTTATGCTTTGAAGAGGGAGCTAGACTTTTTATTTTTAATGAAAAACTCTGCATTTTACTTATCCACAAAACCAAAAAATGTACATTGCCTAGCTACCTAACTTCTTTCATCAGCCCCCACCTATTGTACCAAGGGTGGTTGTTGATGGTAGAGGTTAAACGTCTCTTGTGCCTGTGAGCGGACCTTGCTAGAGAATCCGCAGTAGTATATATGAATGAATTATATGAAGTGCCTAGTATTGTGCTTCATTTCTTTCTGTCCCTTTGGGCCATTTACATGGCAGTGGATGAACATTGCTAGAAATAGCTGGTTTGAGAGATATTCAGTATTTTGGCACAGCATCCTTGTACAAACCCATGGTATTGCTTCACTCAATGTTATCCTTTGCTGCCCTTAAATCTTGAGATATCAGATATCTGGTAGGACATAAATCGTTTCGTCTATCCCCGTATAGAAACTTATGCCACAATAAGTCTTCAAACAAGATTTATCTTGAGACATTTTGGGCACTACATATTTTGCGGCCTCTGGTATCAGTATCCCATCGATTTAAGGCTTCAGTTTTATCTACTTCATGCACTGAGTAATGATTTGTGAACTAATGTTCGAAAAAACAGAACTCCCAACTTTAAAATTAGTATCAAAGAAAAGCAAAGCAAACAGAACTTAACTAAAAGTTTGTAGATTATTTCTTACTTGGATGATGGTCAGAGAGAGCCATTCCTTTTACGTTGAAAGTCCTCTGATTCTTGTTTGCTTGCTAACAGGGGGGGGGTGACTTCGATGGACGAGTTTCTCCAGGAATTTTCCCGTCAGTATACAGAAGTAGAGAGCATGCACAGGAAAACAATTGTTGCAAGTACGACAATCAAAATCTTGCATTGTTCACCTCTCCTCTCTACCTTGCTGGTTTAGTTGCATCTCTATTGGCATCTCCAGTAACAAGGAAGTACGAGCGAAGGGCAAGTATAATTGGTGGTGGAATCTGCTTTCTTATCGGATCGGTTCTCAATGCAGCAGCTGTTAATGTGGCCATGCTTCTCCTAGGTAGAATCATGCTTGGTGTTGGCATTGGATTGGAAACCAGGTAATCGGCCACACTTTAAAAATAAAAATTATGTCTGCATACTCGTGTTAGCTATGGTACTACCTTCAGACTGACTGAAAACATTAGTTCAATACTGTGTCACATCATATTCCGCATTAACTCTGCAATGAAACCTTTAACAGATTGTGATGTTAATGTGAGTTTATAAACTTTCCATGAAAAGTAAGGTGTGATGTGTTGAAACATGAAACAGTAAATAGGTCCAGAATAACATGCATTGTGGTTGAACTTAAAAAATAACAGAGCTCCACCTTGTGGTTGTTTTGAAGGCAATTCCTATGTCCTTGTCAGAGATGGCCACCAACCCACTTGCGAGGTGGCCCTGAACATGATGTTCCAAGTGGTGAAAACTTAGGAATCTTCACAGCAAACATGGTCAACTATGGAACGCAGAAAGCTTCACCCATGGGGGTGGAGGCTCTCATTGGTCTAGCTGTTATACCAGCTATTGTAATGACAGTGGGCGGAATTTTCCTTCCTGATACACCTAACAGCTTAATAGAAAGAGGATTAACAGAAAAGGGAAGAAAGCTACTTGAAAAGATCAGAGGAACCCAAGATGTTGAGGCAGAGTTCCAAGACATCATCGATGCGAGCAAGATCGCAAACTCAATAGAGCATCCCTTCGAAACATGCTGGAAAGGAGGAACAGGCCAGAGTTGGTCATGTCAATCTTATGCCGATGTTTCAGATCCTTACTGGAATAAATTCAATTCTGTTTTACGCTCCTGTACTGTTCCAGAGTATGGGATTCAGAAGGAATACTGCTCTATATTCATCTGCTTTGACAGGAGGAGTTCTTGCTTCCTCAACATTTATTTCTATTGCAACGGTTGACAGATTGGGACGCAGGGCTCTGCTTATCAGTGGTGGAATACAAATGATCACATGCCAGGTAAATTAAAGAAACAAATTTATGAAGCACAAAGCATTCTAAGAGTTATCTTTGTGTGATGATTTAAAATAAAAAAGAACACAGCTGCTATATATTGCATATGTGAGTTGAAACTAGTAACAGAACAAGGATAAAATGCCTAAAGACAAGACACTGCTTTTCCCCGGTGAAATCAGAGATGCGAATAAAATGATATCAAACAATCCATCAATGATTTAAAACTCATGCGCGCCCATTGAACTAGTACGCTACCACACAATTAGTCGCATTAGAGATTATGGCAGCCAAAATAAATTTAAACCAATGAAAATCAGCAGGACTTGTCAAGTCGACTGAATAGTGAGGTAATGCGTTCAGAGGAAGTTCAAAGAAACCAAGCTCGGATCCCAACTTGGCTGTCAATATGATCGTACTGTGTCGACACTGCATTCGAACATTGAATTGTATTTCATCAACCACGAAGTACCCGTTGCAACCATTCAGAAGAGCAACTCACACGAACAAATAAGCCCCACACCGACCAGTCAGTCAAACACGAATTGCGAATTATCATCATGCTGTTTTCAAAGGCCTATCCACCCCAGGAGGTATCCTGTAGAACACAAACAGATACACGTACGAAAATTTTCATCGCAAAATCCGCCTCAACAGAGTCACTAGTCAATCATTACATCGCGTACATCAAATCCGAGCATACGATGACATAATGGACAAAGTTTTAAAGAATCCGTTTACATGCGCAAGGATCCTTCATTCTTAAGACCGCGAAGTTTTTCCCTTTAATCCATGATTTTCGCATCCTCGTCGAGAAGCAAGTTCACTCACAATCAAACCGAATTCAAGATGACAGAAGCCCATTTTACGTTTCGGCCAAGAACTATGGAAATCATCCTCTAGGAAGAAAAGAATAAATTCCGAATAAAGAAAATAAAAACATCACAAATGCAATAGGAGGGCATTAATCCAGTGCAGAAAGCTAACTATAGGGATCTTATTGCATCAAGATTCAGAACTACATCAAGAAGAAATAGACAACAAGACGAAACAAACACCTGAAAGAAACGAACCAACACTAAGTACACTTCCTTCTTCCACAAGATCTAAAGGCCAGCATACGCACGCATCCTACGGACACAACGTAAATCCACCATGTTGTACTTTTAAAGAGCACATGAATTTACAAGACATTTATAGCCTCGAAAGTCGAACCTTCCGTCCTTAAGTGCACTAATACTATCTAACTGAATAGAGTAAGCCCTCTTTCAGAAACTAAATAACAAATTCTCGTCACTGCAAGCATGTCTAGGCATAGCTTCGATCAATTGCTCATTTGCTCGCATCCCACAGCCAACCTCTTGAAAAAATAAAGGAAGCTCGTTGAGATTATGCGAACGACCATCTACGTAGGAAGGAAGAACCGAAATCCTATCATCCGTCAAACAATCATCAATCACCACTAGAAACTTCATTCTCCGCCGATCATAAGCCTCACAGCCCCTTCTCATACCAAATCAAGCCTTAGCAACCGCCTCAAGTCGCTGGTGGCTGCCCCGTTCTTCCCTAGAAATCCCGGTACCGGCAATGAACTCGGAGGCGGTGACGCAGCAAAAGCGGATCCGGCATAGATTCCGTCCTTCAAATCCGAAATCCTAATCTGTTTCTGCACCATTTCCGGGTCCGGACCCAACCGATCAGTCGATCCCAAAACCAAATCAAAACCTTCGTCGCTCTTGGGCATTTTCTGGTTGTTTGATGAAACAGCAACCGCTTGCGAGTGGTCGTCCTCCGAACTCAACCTTTCCCCTCGCTTGAGGATCTTAACCTGGCCCATAACAAGTTTTGCGCCCGCACTTTTCGCCACCGTGGATCGACCACCATACCGACTCCGACCTCGATCGTTATGATTAGCTTGAACGGCCACCGGACTTCTCTTCCTCCGGCGACTCTGGCCGACGTGAGAGTTAGGAATTGGAATAGGGTTAGGGTTAGGGTTTCTTCGGGATCTGACAGGCGATGCCGTTAGGGCTAAGGCTTCGCGGCCAAACCGACCTCGAAGACAATCTTGAGAGCGAAGTATTGCTGTTGCCATTTCCAACAAAGAGATGGGAAGATAACCGGAAATTGAAAAAACAAGCAACCAATCGCAAATTGAAATGGTGCATGATGGGGAAGCAAAACTTCATCGATATTTATAGGCAAATGAATCACGTGAGGCCTGAACGGCCTTCTAAGTGGCTTCGCTCTATTCTAGTTCCGTGTGATAGAGGCTACCGGACCAGGTCACGTGAGATGGCCTGAAGGTCGGTTTTCCTTCAATGTTACCCTTGTAACACATACAATGACGTGTCAAGTCGTGAGTGGAAACTTGTAACAGGAATTCGAGTCGTAGAAGAGGGATTGGGAGTTCAGAGCGGAACCGCCTTTGGAGAAATATAAAGCTGTAGGTGAGAACGGGTGCATTGGATCCATGCCGACCTTGAATCTCGATTTGCGTTTACACTTTACACGTACCACACCCAATAAATCCGCTTCTCCAATAAACGCAGATATAAAATAATGTTAATAATTTTTTATTAAAAGAGAAATTAAGAGAGTGTTTGGAACTAAAACCATAGTTTTAAAAGTACTTTTATAGTATACGAAATAAATATATGAAAAAATTTATTTTATTTTACGTAAAATTGCTTTTATGTGCTTCCAAACACCTCTTTTTACACCTTTATAGATTTTTTGTCTTGAAGTATTTATTTGGATCTGCTGATTATAAACATATTTAGGATTAAAATAAAATTTATCGCACAGAAAAATTAGTTTTTATAATTTTATAAGGATATGGATCAAAGCTTAATAGTAGGGACCAAAATCAAACTTATTAAAAGTATAAGGGCCTAAAATGGGTTTAATCCTAATTTCTTTTACAAAGTAACCTTTCTACTTTCTTAGTCCTTAATATAAGACATTCCTTAAGAAAAAAATTATTATCCAAAATATAAGATGTTGTTATAATAATTAATGTGATTTTTTTACTTTTATTCCTATTAAATATAGGAGGGAGACCAAAAATAATAAAAATATAACATTAAAGACAACTTTATCATTTTTAGGGGTAAAATAATTTTTTTAATCATTTTTAAAATATATTTAATAACTAAAATTTTATTTTTTTTTAGTACGTAAGAAAAGTTAATCAACTTCATAAACCCGTGAGAATTACTTTAACAGTTCAACATAAGCAAATTTAATCCTATTGAGACGATATAAGCAAAGTTAGTACAATTAACTTCAGCGTTCTTCATGAAAATACAAGAACTAATGGCTATAGAACCTAAAAGTAAAATTATGAGGATCAATAGCTATATTAACCTTGCTGGCAAAAAAAAAAAAAAAGAAGCTATATTAACCTTATTTTTTAACATATTTATTCGAAGATCAATCTATACTGAGGGCTATCTATTTCAATTTCATGGCCAAGGATTGAAATGAATATGAATAAATTGTTTATCGATGATCATCATATTCATAAATCTATTTGAATACTTGATGAACAACTAACAATATTATACATGAGATGGCCAAAAAAAAAAAACAAGACTACCTCCAATGCTTAATATAAAAATTAGTCGACTAATTTGAATAGATTAAGAAAAATACTTAAGTTAGTTATTTATAATAAATAAATGTTATCTTTTTAAAAATACACTTGGTAATTATATATATTGGTTGGAATTATCATTTGATAAAATATTTAACATGTGCAACTACTATAAGGATTATCTTACAAAAGGGATAAATATAAAAAATAAAACTAATTCAGGTCTTATATTTTGGATTAAATTAAATGTCAAACTAAATACTACCTCCAATCTTTAATATAAGACCTCGTTTTGACTTTTTTTAGTCCTAAATATAAGACTCTAATTCACTTTGTCTCTAATATTTATGTATTTTTTTAGATAGTCCTTCTAACAATGGTAGTTCTAGCTAATACACTTGATTAGTAAAGATATTTTAAGAAAGACAACATTTGTTTATGACAAATAACTTAACTTCTTTCATCAATCTTCTCAAATTAGTCAATTAGTTTTTATAATTAAAACCGAAAATAGTATTATATTAAAGATGGAGACAGTATTAGATATGAATACATTTTTATAGTATGCCCGCGGGGGGGCAAAAACCCCCAACAGCCTCATGTTCCTCTCTTTCATCACAATCGCACATTGACTCCTCTTATGCTTTGGCAAATCACAATCCACAAATTCAACGCAGACATTTAAGAAGAAATCAGCATAGATCTGAAAGTAAATCAAATCATTTTGAAATAGGCTCATGGCTTTAATAATTGTTCCCTCTAAATTAAACAATAATAAACAAACATCTAGGTATTATATCTAAAATCCAAGAGATAAAAGCCTTAAACCTCAATTTGCTCTGATATTTGAATTGAAACTAGAAACTAGATGAGGAACCAACTTCAACGCCACACTGGGGCAAGAAGACAAGGTCAACAAGATGAGAAGGAAGAGGAAGATGATGATAGATTTAGAAAATGGCAATTTTAAAAATGATACCACCTCCCGTCCATAATGAAATGTTCTTCCAGTGTTAAATGTAAGACTTTTTTGATAATGTAATTTACACTATATAAAAAGTCTTATATTTAGGACTAAATGAGTATTTAATTTGTAATTCAATTTAGAGTTTGTTTGGCAATTTGCTCATACCATGATTTGGGCCAAAAAAATTGCTAAATAAGGAGGAAAAAGCACAAATCATGATTTTAGCTCAAAAACCGTAGTTTGGGGAAAAGCAAAATTGATCTGTTTTTTGGTTCAAAAATTGGAAAGTATTAGAGTACATTCCAATCCATTCCAACAAATATGTGAATTTTTTTTCACCAGACGGATATACCCCTCAATTATTCATTTCATGTTTCAAATCTTTAAAGCAAATTAATATTTTTTGTTAGAAAAAAATAATTATTTTTCTATAAATATATTTAATCTTATAATTTATAAATACATATACACATATTAATTATTTATTAATTATATCGTCTTATATATTATTAATTATGTTAGTAAAAAATATATTATTAACAATTTTATTTCTTCAAATTAAAATATATTATGAAATCTATCTTTTATGTAATTATTATATTAACTTATATTTTTTTTAGTAATTTGTACATATAAAAAGTGATTCTGAGAACAATTATCCAAATATTTACTTTATTAGAATCATTTTTTCACAAAATATATTTTTCAAAAAATCTATTCTCCTAAAAATCTATTCTCCAGAAGCTATTTTTCAAATCATGGTTTGATTTCATCCAAACATCCTCTTAAACTACAAACTAATCTTATATTAAGGATCGAAAGTAGTATCGATGTGAAGTGAAAATTCTAAGAGATAGTAATGGAGATTGATAGGGAGAATATAGGTATGTGGATTGTCAAATTTTTGGCAAACATAGTTGTCAGGAGAAATAATGAAATGCCTTAAGACCAATGAGGTGCAAGTAGATTGGTCTCATGGCTTCCTTGTAGATTGCAACTACGATGTTGTCAGGAGAAAGAAAAGGTAAAGTGATGATAAAATAGAGAGTGGAGAGATATCCGATAAGATATGATGCAACCTCTTGGAAAGGAGCCAAGAGAGAGATGCAAAGAATAGGAAGTAGAGGACAACCAAAAACAAAGACATCAATATATAGTTAGATTTATGTAATGTGATGGTTAGAATGGTTTAACTCAACTGACATACATTTGAAAATTTTAAAGCGTGTGTTTTGGAATATTTTTCTTAAAAGTAATTTTATAGTATACGAAATAAGTAAAAAGATTTATCTTAACTTGTATAAAAGTATTTTTAAGAAAATGAAATAAACACTCAGTTTTATATAAATATGAAGTTGTGTATACAACTTTTTATGAGTACAATGGGTGCGTGAATTGCTTTTATCCATGAAGGATTAAAAAAACAAAAGATATATGATGTGATGAGCTATTATTTACTTTGATAAAGAAAACAAATTTATATTTAAAATAATAATGTAAGGGTTGTCCGAATCAATTTTGCATATTTTTTTAAACAATACTTCTAAAAAAGTCAACAAAGTTTACAACTTATTTAATATTTTTAATTCCTATGACGTTTAAACTATTCTTTAAGTAAATATTTGTATTTATAAATATTAAAGACAATAAAATCATACTTGAATTTCATTTCACAATTTTTAAAACTAAATTTAAAAATATATAATAAATATTATGAAACTATAATTTATTTAAATTGTATCAAATAATAAAAATATTATCAATGACGCTTTTAGATAGAAGACATTGCACAGGGGAAATGATGTAAAACCGGAAGGGGAAAGAAAGAGATAAAAGAGAAAGGCTAAATTATATATTTGGCCCTTTAACTTTGTATAAAATTTTAATTTGGTCTTTTAACTTTAAAATATATGTTTTTAGTCCTTTAACTTTAAAATTTTTTAAAAACATGATGACATTAAGATCTTAAATATTGATAAAACATTCTCAAATGCTTAAATGTTAAGTTTAATTTTCAAAAAATCCATAATTCTTATAAAAAATCATCATTAAAACTTATTGATTTTAGGGTTAAAGGACTAAATGTATGTTTTTTTAAAGTTAACAGGTTAAATTAAAATCTTATACAAACTTAAAGAACTAAATGTATATTTTAGTTAAAGAGAAAAGAGTGGAGAGAGGAAAAGGGAAGAGATGGGAGAAAATAGAAATCAGAGGAGAAACAATAACTATAATTTGATACAATAGTCAAGTCTAGTATGCGGAGAATGAAAATCTTAAATCTACTTATATTAAAATAATAATAAAAATGAAAATAATAATAACTTTTCCTAATAATAATGAAAATAATAAAATACTAACAAATCTAATCTAAATGAGTCCTCAAAAAATGATAGATCCTAATAAATCTAAATATCCTATAATTATAATTATCCCACGATCATTTCTTATCCCATATTCGAACGGGAAATCACATACATTTTTAGCATATTCTCATAAATTTGTCAAATAAGACATACATAATACTCTTTCAATCCCTCCTAATTATTAAATTAATTTTGGTCTTAAATATAAGACTTATTTTTTGTATTTATCAATTTTTTTCTAAATTATCCCTTTAGATACTTCCTCAACCATAATTAAGTAGAAGAAGGGGTAAGATATTAAGAAAGATAATTATAGTATTTTAAGAAAAAATGTCTTTTTTTTTATAATTAACTAACTTACCTAACTTTTTTAATCTAATCAAATTAGTTAAATATGTCTTATATTAAGTATAGGAGGAGTATATATCAAAGTGGTGTAAAAAAAACTCATGCTATACAAATTAATTAAAATTAAAGCCACCATTATTTTTCCCTACTTGCAAAGGTGTCCGTTTAACACTGGACGGTATTTCGAATAGAATGCCATCCAATAAAAAAATATATGTGCATAGAAAAAGAAAAGAGAAAATTGCAAAATTATATTGTCAAAAGCCAAAGTGAAGTTGTCAAAAGTCCCTGTCTACGTTTCTAAAGTCTTTTTTTATAATTTCCTCAAAAGAAAATTATCCAGCACTTTCTAATTAGTAAACCACAAGTTGACCAGCATATACATTATTTGAATTGGAGCATACACATCATTCATCATACTACTATTACATGTAATAAATTATACGATTTTCTGTAATATGTGGGTGTGTATTTTAAATTGATATTATTTCACCGCTGGCAACATATATTGATATTTTCAAAAATAGTAATCGAATACCTGATTGGCTTATGGTTGCTTATTATCTAACGCATGCGAAATTCATTGACTCAGTCATCTTTATTTTTATTTTTTTAAAATTTTAAAAAAATTAAATTACTTAAAAAGTCTCCGAAACTGGGCGGTTGAGTGCGACATCAGCCATGCTACGTGTAGAAAACCATGTACGTTTCCATTGACGAGCGCAAGAAAATGAGGCACTACCATTGTTGCGGAGAAATCGACGGAAATAGAGGAGGCCCTTCTCTGTTCTCTCTCCTGCATTGTCCAGAACCTCGCGTTGTTCTTTGTGTTTGATTCATAGTAGCTACTTGGAAATTGGAGTCGCTTGCGAGAGGGAGCGTGTAGAGGATGGACGCATCATCGTCATTGCCATCGCCGTCGGGCAAGCCTTCGTTTGAGCGCAGCACCACCATCGCCGGAGGCAGCGAAGAGAAGAATTCATTTGAGTTTTTTGGCTGGGTTTATCACTTGGGCACCAATTCCATCGGCCATGAGTACCGTCACCTTCGCTTCCTCTTCATTCGGGGCAAGTATGTATCGATGTACAAACGTGATCCCCACGAGAATCCTGGCATTGTATGTTTCTTTTTCCTTCCGGCCGTTTCGTTTTCGAATATCTTTTCTTTAACTTATTCTTTTTGTGTTTTAAAAATTTCTAGTTAGTGGAGGGTGGTAGAAATAATGGTCATTGGCTAATTGTTTCGTCAATGCAATGAGGATTTGGACATTGTGGTGGAAAGCCATGGTTGGAACTGCTAGTGACAATCTAGAGTTGACTCATTTTCAATCCAATACGCTAACCACTCTTTTACGCAACTTATAACATGGGGAAGAATTAACAGCATTTGCTTCTTCTTAGCTGAAAAAGCACTGTAGAAACTAATAGGTCTTCATGTAGCACTCCTATCCTAGATTTGTGGGCTCAAGTTCTTACCTAAACTGAGCACCTTTTCCATCATTAGACGTGGCGCAAAGCCACAAAATTCAAGGATCAGTAAGAACCAGGATGAACAGCGTAACTGTGGTAAGAAGGGGGAGTGAAGAGAGAAGAGAGGGTAGGTAGAAGAAGAACTAAGGAAACAGAGAGGCAACCAGAAATTCTGAATAATACAACACGAAGCTCACCCCTACCCCTCACACGCGCGTGCCCACACAGAGTTTAGCCCCATGTCTGGTTATAACAACCCCAAATCACTACTAACTAACTCAACCAACTCCTCAGACTAACCCTTTCTAACTATATAATCCTCATGTCTTATTATTATTACTACATAAAATTACCCACCGAAAGACCCTTTCCTCTAAGGGTTTGGGACCTTCAGCATTTTCTGGAATTGATACACAGGAACCCAATTAGCATGTTCATCCGGTAATCTTTCCACTGGAGTAAAACTTCTGTTATAATTCTTCCCGTGTCACCCTACTCTTTTATTTAGAATAGTTTCAGGTTTTGAATGTATAGGAGCTGCAGGTCATTCAATTGGAGGAAGTCTTTGCTTGATTGTAGGATCTGAACATAGTTTGAGCAATGATAGATTGAAAACAAGATGTAACCTAGATTCTTGAGGGAGCTCGAGCATATAAGCTACTGGACCAATTTTTCGTTTCACTCTATAAGCCCCAAAATACCCTGAAACAAGCTTCTGTGGAGCTCCTAACAGCAATAGAAATTTGTCTATACGGTTGTAGTTTTATGAACACTTATTCACCAACCTCAAAATTCCTATATGTTTAGATGCCATAACGCATAGGTCCCAAGATCAAAACCTGGCTCTAATACCACTGTTATGAGAAGGAACAGTGAAGGGAGAAGAGAGGGTTGTTAGAAGAACATATGAAGCAGATAGACAAAGTGGGAACTAGAATTCTGAATAATACCTTCTGTATAGATTCACAACAAGAACAACACCAACTGATCCTTAGCCCTCACACACATATACATATGTGTGCAGTATAGACCCATATTTGATTATAACAACCCCGTAACAGCCCCAACTAACTTAACTAACCCTTAGACAAACTAATTTTAACAAAATCTCATGTCTCATTATTATTACATAAGTGACATAGCGACTCTGTCACATGCTAGACAAATTACCAGTAATGAACATGCTCCATCCGTACCGTTTGCTCAGGGCTTATCATTTTATGAAATTGATCTAAATTGGTTATCTCCTTTCTTTTCACAGCATACACTGAGATAGAAAGTTGAAGAACTAAGATACTGCCAGATAATATGTATGGAGACGAAGACAAACTATGCACACATTTCTTCATGTAACACACTCTTGTCTAAGACTTACTTGATCACAATGCTACAAGATAGTCTCAAACACTGACCTCGTTAAGAGTCATATACTAGCCAAGATGATCAAAATGAGTTTGAGGCTTACTTTTATCAGGTGTTGCAAGCTCTTATTATGCACACAATATATCCAGCCAACACAAGCATTGGGAATCTTGGATTGCTTTGATCTGTTTACCCCATGAAATATTTTAGAGAATGTTGTTGTTGCAAGTGGTAGACTTTTGTTCACCAAAATGGAAGACATTGGCAGCCTCTTAAGTAAAATTCAGTATTTAGTGGAACCTTAAGTTTGCAGAGTGCGGGAAATATCAAATATGAATATAGGATCTCTATAATGTTCGCTATTGTAATTTCTAGCCACAAAATAAAACGGTTAGGTCTGAAGGCACTCAGGCTTGCTAGGTTTCCAATATTTTGTAAAATGGTTGAACTATTTTTTTAAAGATTAATGTGGGTTTTAATGCTATTCCCTTCTTTTTTTTTGGGTTCTGTTTTTCTTTTCTTGTATAATCTCTCTCTGTCTCTATTTGCCCCTTACTTTTTCTAATTATGCTTATTTTGCATATGGTAATGTTTTCCTGTGTTAGAAACCTATTAGGCAAGGAGTCATAGGGCCTACACTAATGGTGGAGGATCTAGGGCGTCGGAAGGTCAACAATGGGGTAAATATGCATCTCTTTGATTACTGAATTAAACTGATTTTGCGTTTGTTCGGTTGGAATATTTTCTGTGAGATGAACTTGTAATTTTTTTTATTATATACATAGTTGATTGTCTTTTAATTTGGTGCATGCTAAATATTTTGTATATTCCCCAGGATCTTTATGTTCTTCGATTTTACAATCGGCTAGATGAGGCCAAGAAGGGAGAAGTAAGTTATAGCTTTGAATTATTTCTTTTGTTCAATATAGAAATAACTTCTTACATGTATTTTTCTGCAAGATTGCTTGCGCTACAGCTGAGGAAGCTCAAAGATGGATAGATGCATTTGATCATGCTAAGCAAAAGGTATAAGAATATCTGAAAGCTTTTGATCATGATGTGAAAATTGCACGTTATTTAGTAGTATTAATAATAGTTACAATTTAAGGCTAATTGTGATGTGATGGAACTATATTCTTGTATAGCATATTATTCTTATAATTAGACTACTGATCTCTTGCCCTTTGTAGGCTGAGCATGAGATGACTAGAGCCAGTAGTGCCAGAGAGAGACTAAGCATGGAGACTGAGTATGCGTAATTTTTCACCTTAGATGCATTATTACATATATTTGACAGAATAACACTGTTTTTACGTGGCCTTTTCTGCAAACACTGTTGGTGATTGATTGACATGGAAGCATTAAATCTCTGACTTTAGGCTCCTGTAAATAAGTTAACTCTTAAGGTTATTATTATACATGCCGACTTATTTTTGTCTTACGCCAATAACCAGAGGCCTCCACCACACTGATAATATACCATGACATTCATACAAGAAAAGAATGTCTCTCTTTTTTATTGCTTCTGGTCATTCAACATTAACAATTGTTTTTCTACATCTATCTTACAGACTAGCAAGCATTAGCAGTGTGTTTATATAATTTCTAGTGATACTCTCATATGCACCCACCCAAAAAAAATTGTTTTATTTAATATTTAGAAACTATAAGACTTTCAAGAATTCTAAAAGGGTTGCCTTATAAATAATAATTTATCTTACAGATAATAAATTATGAGCTAATTTTAATGAAGAATCTGCACCGTTGATGTTATGATCATTATGATAATGATATGTATGATCTCCTAATTATTGATTTTGAAAATAAGTACTTTTTATGGATTATTAGATGGCCTAACACTGAGGCTGTCCTTTTCTCCAATCGTCCACAAATTCACATATTTTCATTCTTAATGCTGTGGAAGGATCAATCTTGAAGGGCACCGGCCTAGAGTTAGGCGGTATGCATATGGATTGAGGAAGCTTATAAGAATTGGTCAAGGTAAATTCATCAACGTGTTTTTATCAATGTTTCTAAAAGTAGTGCCGTCATTAAACTAATAGAAGTATTAGTTTACAATTCAATAGTCGATTGTGGTCGAATGATATTAGACAATAGTTATGAAATATAATATGTGTGTGTGTGTACATATAATTTTATATACTAAAATATCATAGCAGAAAATAGACTAGGGATTGATTTTCCAAATTTTTGATTGAGCTGGCTGGCCTATTTTGGTTTGGAGAACTATGGTTTTTGTAGCAAGAGTCTATGAGGAGGTGCTTTTATGGTGGTGTCTATTTTGTTTCCAATTTCAAAAGAAACTAAAGTTACAATGTTGCATTGATATGCAACAGAGTGCGGAAAAGTAGTTGGGAAACTGTGATACTGAAAAATATATTAATGTAGGTTATAGTTTTCCAAGAAATACTTTCCTTCTGATTGTTGGTGTATCAACTACCTTAGTGTCTTTCTTCCTTGTAGACACATCTCATTTTTATTTTATACTAATAAACATCAAGTGTTTCTCTTTTGCTCTTAAAGGCCCAGAGACACTCTTGCGTCAATCATCAATAGCAACAAGTGGCTTAGATGGATTCGAAGGGGATAGTGGTGATGCATTTGAAGCACATCAGTGGAAATGTGTTCGAACTATGGATGGTAATTTTCATCTGATGCAAAAGCATGCTTTCAGCCTATTGACAAGCAATATTTTGCTACTTAATTCTTGATGTTTTCAAACTCTATAATTTAAGGCATCAAGAAGACAGATTTTAATTATTAATAAGGCTAATTTAAAAGCATAATCAAATTGGCTGGAAGCATAAATTTTTTAATAGACTTGTTCGTCCTCTATTTCATGTTTTCTTTGTTCTTCCCAGTCCAATCTTCCTTTCCATAGCAAAGGCAAAATATTTATTCTCAGTCTCCTTTGTATTTAATTTTGAAAAGTATGTGATAATATCTACTTCTGGACATGAATGGATGATGATATTTGTGGAATTCCTGATCTTTTCCCATTAATTAAGTTATTCCTTTTCTGCAAATATGCATGAATACTTATGCCTTCCCTCTCCTCTGTTATTTTCATTACCTTATAAAAATATTCTTTAATTGAAAGAAACGAAGAAACTCTACCAGGAAAAAAAATATTTACTTATATTTATTTAGGAGGAGGCAGCCTAAGTAAGTAAGGTGTAAAGTTTGTCACATCAGTGCAAGATTCTGATGGAGCCCAGTAGTATTATTTTCGACTACTAAGGATTAGTCAGTACAATCCCCTTCTATGAGGTTTGTCTTAGTCAGTAATTAATCTGCTTCGTGCATTGTAAAACCTGTTTTCTTTGGATATTATAAGTTATAATACATTTAGAATAAAGTTCCAAAGGATTTGATCATAGATAAAAGTATTTGAAATCATTTCATAAAATATAAGAATTTGTTCAGCGACACAGAGAATTATAACTTGAGTTGACCAGGTTGTCCAATATAACTTGGGGTTACTTGAAGTTATCCTCAGATTCACAAGAAGGAAAACTCATAACTTCCAGTTATGAACTTGAATTGCAAAGGATATGTTTAAAAAATGAACACTAACTCAAGAGGAACTTCAGGTTACTTGAAGTTGGCTTTTAGTAAAAGGCATAACTTTCAGTTACCTGAAGTTATGACACATTTTTCGCAAGACCAAACAATATCAACTTCTGGCTACTTAAAGTTATGAAAAGGCTTTTCAGATCAAAGTGCAGTAACTTCTAATTACTTCAAGTTATGACATATTTTCAAGGAATAGGACCTCACTAACTTCCAGTCACTGGAAGTTATCAAGATTCAAGAGACATAACTTGAGGTTACACAAAATTTGAGGTTATCAAAAGTGGTTTTAGTGGTGAAAACATAACTCTATATACAAAACAAGTCATTACAAGTTGTGCTTTTAGAAATGACTAATATGAAAGATAACTTGAGTTGCCGACTTGAGCTACTGGACTCGATAAGCCAAGGAAACTCGCAACTTCTAGTTGTTGCGAATTAATGCACTATCAAGCTACGACTTGAGTAACTTATAGCAACTCATTTCAAAAATCATTTCATGTTATAAATTAATAATGAATTAATTATATACCCTGCAGAAGGAATCTTCTCTAATTTTGTTGTCACTAAAACATGGGTTCTAGCAGTATGGAAGGGGAAGATATTGCAAAAATGACTAACTAATACTACTTACAGCACTGGAACTAAGAAAACCATAATAATAAGCAAGGAAAGATGGACTTCTCTGACATTAGACGTTAGAGGCTCTCCCAAATCATCCATTCACTGGTGTCCTGCCTCAACTAGGGCACACAACCCCAGAAAACTAACTCTGACAACCTCCTTGGAATTAGTGGGCTGTAGGCCATCCTCAGGGCCCAATTCCTGCTGCTGAGTGTTATGTTTGGGTCTAGGCTCCCTTCTCTTGTCCCATCAGATTCGTTGTTAGAATATGTAATACAAAACATAATTCTTTTTTTTTATTGTTGAAAATTGTAAATATTACTAATGCTAATCACGCTTGTACAATTTACATTTGTGTCTATCTCTATTTTTCTAGATGCTCTTTGTTTTTGGTTTCAGGTATTAGGATTTTTGAGGATGTTTCTGATTACAAGGTACACACTCATATAATACTTGTTGATACTCATTTTCAGCAACTTTTCTGAAATCTAGTTAGCTTTTCATTCATGGATGTATTGTGGAAGGAGTTGTGAGAATGCTTACGTCTGTCAAACTTCATTTGTTGCCCAATACTTCTTTGGACGAGCAATTTTTTACTTGTAAGCATACATTGTTTTGATGAATACTGTTTACACCACAATATCTTTTTGGAGCACAAGTGAACGTGTGTTTCTCCCTGTTTTCTCTTGTAATATTTATTCTCTTAACAAACAAAGACACTCACATAACAAATAAAATCAATTGATTGATTATTAAACTATCAAGTTTCTAAAAGCAGGGGTGGTTAGATATAAATGCTGGAGGACAGGAAGGAAAGTGTTTATTAGTACTTGAACCATAAACTATGGGCCGTTTGGCTCTTGAAATGTTGGGAATAAGATGAGAATGAGAATTAAGTCCGATGAAATGAGATAACTATGTTTGGTATGTTATGGAAAGAAATGAACATTTATGTTTAGTTGGACAACAAGGCCCTCCTAATATAAAAAATATATTAAAATTTCTGTTATTAATTTTTTATCAATAAAATAGTATTTTCTATATGTACTCAATACAAAATATTAAAATATTAACTTTTAGTTTCCTTAATGTGTAAAAATATTTTTAAACTATCAAAAGTTAAATAATCATTTTTAATTATCAATACTAAATAATAATATAGTTACAAATAAATTTTGAAATACAAAATAACCATTTGCATGAACAAATAAATTTTGAAATACAAAACAAACATTTGCACGAACGGGGATACATATATGTCACTGGCATCCTATTCCATCAGATTTGTAAATGTTATTGTGTACTTGAAAGCCTTAAATTTCATTGATTGATATGCAAAATTTGTTATCTTATTATTTCAGTTCTTAGTGGTAAAAGGAAGTCTTGGTTTGAATACCTGTCCTTTATGAGATAAACAAAGTGGCTTTCTCCTTGCCTTGATATTAGTTGGAAAATACTGTCAATAGGAACTTCATTGTGTGTCAGTGTAAATCCAAAATCCTTTACTTTTGTGATAGTGAATGAATAAAGGATTATATAGTGATTATTGTTTCATATAGTTAACATATCAGCATGTGCTCATTGTGTGGCTTCGGTTCTCATTTTTTTCTCCATCTTTGAAAATATTGATCCTGTAATTACAAGAATTGAAATGAACTCTGATATAATAAAAATATCTGGTTTCCTTTTTGACATTCTGTTTATGCTTTGTAGAATGGTAAGGGTGTCCTTGTAAAGTCTGTTGGTAATATTGATGCATCCGCAGACACTGTTTTTGAAGTGCTTTTAAACACTGATCAACAACAAAGATATGAGTAAGTTGGCCATAAAAGTGCTCATGAGTATTGATGTCAGAGAAGCTTATTTCTCTTCTATTGCAGGTGGGACATGTTGATGGGTGACTTAGAGCTGATAGATTCTTATGATGGACATTATGATGTGGTTTATGGTACATATGATCCAAAATATCTTACCCGGTAATCAATTGTCTTGGGTAATTTCTACACCGGGATAGCTAAGCCTGTATAACATCTCTACTTTGGAAAAAGTTGATTATTAATCATTACATTTACTTGGTATCTTACTAGCTTAAGGTGCGATTGTTTTAGCAAATGAGATTCATGTGCACCAGCCAATTTGACTTTCCTATTGACGACCTCCATTCCTTATAATTCTTCATGTTTGGCGTGTCCGAACTTGCACATTTTTTTAAGTAAATTCTTTTGGGGTCATGCTTTAGCTATCTCCATTGAGATGTCACCAATGAAATAGCTATGAAGTTGTGGGATTCATCACCTCTCTACCTTCTCTTCCATTCCCAAGTTGACTTGTTAAATAGAAAATTTCATTTATAGTTCATTATTCAAACTTCAGGTGGCAGTCAAAGCGAGATTTTATCTTCTCCAGGCAATGGTTTCGTGGACAAGACGGAACCTACAGTAAGAACGTGATTTTATTTTAATAAAATGAGAAAGAACATGATTACTGTGATTATTGGCTTAAAGCCCATTATTAAATATTGTTCCTTTACTATTTTTTTTTTTTTGACCCAGTTTTATTGTCCTTTTATTTGCCTACTGAACATTAATCAGATAAAATAACAAAATTTTGAGCTACAAAAGGGTGCTCCAGAAGACTCTTGTTGATATTTGATTTAATGCATATTGATTATCTGTTCTTCTGTACAGCAATTAGGTATTACTAGTTAGGTATTACTAGTGAGAAAGAGTGTGAAATTCTCTTTTCCATTGTATTGAACGAGGCTAAAAACATGGGTGTTTATAGGTACAGAATAACATAGTAAGTATAATAGAAGAAACCAAAATAATTATGTTATTTACAATTCTAATACTTCTAACACTTCCTCAAGAAGGATTATCTGTGCTGTTTGCACTCCATTCTTAGAGGTCTCTTGTCTGAGATGACTTGTTAAAGATTGAACTAAAACTATTTATGTTCCTTCATAAATAATTTTAAGATTTTGAATTGAAATGATCTCTAAAAATGTTTTGAATAATCTAGAGTGTTAGTATTTGTGAAGACAATGGCCAAATAATGCCTTATATGTTATAGATTATTGGTTCAGTTGATAGCTTGTTGTATTTTGACTTACTTGGGTGATATCTGCTGACATATTTTATTTTTAATTCATGCAGCAATCTTGCAATTTCCAGCTATACATAAGAAAAAGCCTCCAAGATCTGGATATCGGCGCACAAAAATTAATCGTAAGAAATATTTGTTTGCATAACTATTGAAACCTACTTTGTTTCTAGAGCACGCATTATTTAGAATTTTCATGTTGACTTGTTTCAAATTATTGTCATTATGAAAGCTTAAATGATTGGGTGATGGGGCAACTTTGTATGTCAAACATACAATTTTAACTATTCCCCTGCAGTAAATGCGGAGCTGAAAGAAACTCTGGTTTAAAGCTCAAGGACCATGTATGATTATGTTATACTGAAGCAGCATAGTTCGTTGTGGTTGCTTGTATTCAAATTCTATTAATCTTGTATAATAGCGTTGCTTCAAATTTGAGTTCATTAACACTGGTTGGCAGTGATGAATATTTCTGTTCTTTAATGTTACAGTGTTATAGATTTTATTGGGACGTAAGTAGGCTTATTAAAATGCTCCGTTTATCCTTTTTGATGAACTTCAAGTCTATGAAACTTTTAAACTTTTGCTATCGTAAGATGTTGGACCTCTATTTGCTACTTTTCATTAGATTCTTCATCATGTATCATTTTAAGGCTAAATACCAGAGCTCTCGATTTGTTTCTCCTACTTCTTAATTAGATATTCTGTACATTTAAGATCCAGTTAAATGACTTCGTTTCCTCCCCTATGTAGCCTCCCTTTTTAGTGAAGAATAGACTAGCACGTAAATTCTTTTTGCCTTCTCTTCTAGCGTAATTATTTGAGCTCTTTAGAAAAATAAACAAATGGAAGAGATGACCATTGAGGCATTGACAAACATAACACTTGTTGTATTGCATTTTATGCAGCATCTACATGGGAGATCAGAAATTTGAACACGCCTATGGGTTCAAGTGGCCCTAAATGTCTAGTCACCCACACTCTAGAGATATATAATGCATCCTGGTACAAATGGAAGAACAGCCAATGCTCAAAATTTGAGAAGTCTATCCCTTACGCATTATTGTGTCAAGTGGCAGGTTAAGTAGTTAAACTATTTATGTCATCCTATATCTTTCTGATTGTTTTGGGTCAACTATCAAAAGTCTGGTCCAAACTAGCTGTATCCAATCAATTAATTAGGCCAGGTTTGATGGAGTTTATTAGGGTTCTGAGGACCTCTTTACTCTTTGCTCATTATGTGCTTATCTGGCTCTAGAAAATCAAGTCTGCTAATTGCGAAACCATATGAAAAAACTGGGCTGAAGTAATAACATCATTATTTATGTAAAATCAAACTTTTTTATTTGTTATTATAGCTATTTTTTTTGGGAAAAAAAATAGACACAGTTTGGAGGAGAAGCTTTCTATGTTGAGATGACACCGAAAGTAGGGGAAAGTGAATATTCAATGATTTCCATATGGAATAACATCAGAAGGCCCGTATTGATCAATGCATTTCCTTCCAACCTGATACACCAAACAACATCTAAAACTGTACATTGGCACTGAACTTTGGCATCTTTATTATGACTGAAACCTCGACCAGCTCAATAAAAAATAGATCCAAATTCTCCAGGCGCAACCAATTATACCCAAAAATCTCAAGCAAAATATTCTGAAATGTTGTTTCAGTTCTTAAATGTAAACACATGCATGCAGTTGTTTTAAAATTAATCCCTACACATTAATGTTTGGGGGAAGCGTTAATTTTGGCCTTGAAACTGCAACATCTTGTTGGTAATAAACCTTTATGGGTATTGCTGACTACGTAGACAAGTTCATCATTAGATGAGTTTTAGATTGCCATATTACTTTCTCAACATAAAATGGTGCTCTACTGAAATAAAAATCATTTGAATAATATTCCAGTGACGTTTAATATTATTTTTTGAATATTGATTCAGGTCTTAAGGAATACATTGGAGCTAATCCAGAAGTCCAGAAAAGAATTGCCTCAACTGTTGTTCATCCAAAACTTTCTGATGTTCCTTTGTCCACTGCTGAATATGAAGATGCAGTGCAGGATGAGTTTTATGATGCAATCGCTGCTGACTCATCATCAGAGGAAGAAAGCGATGGGAATGGCAATCTTGATCAGGTTTCCTTGCTTTTGCTTGATAATTTATTGACTAGGGGTGACTTTTAAAAGTTGTCCTTTCTGTAAGTTCCTTAGCTGAATATCTTTTCCAATCTATCAGGAGGCAAGAAACAAACAGAAGAATATAACTGCAGGTCAGCTTTTCCATTCATCATGTGTGAGGAAAGGGGAAACTCTGTATTTCTTCTTGTTTGGGCTATCCAATGTGCATTGGCATTTTAATATTCATTGTCTTAAGTCCATTAAGTGCATGATTCTATCTTAAATAGATGAATGTGATATATAAATATAAATTGTAAATTAATATATGCTAGTTTTAGTTAGTTTATAGCCGCTGGGGGTTGTTACGAGCTTATAAAGATTGTATGAGAAATTCAGAATTCTGAGTTAGCTCTCTGTCTGTCGTATCTCTCTGCCCTCTCTCCTGTCTCTGTCCTGCCTCTTCCCCCCCCCCGGGCCATGATTACCCCTATACATCAGAATGCTACAAGTCATTGATTTAAAAATGAGACCGTGAGACTTGGTATTGAGAGCATATAGTTTGAAGATAAGATACAAAGCCGATTAAGAATTGATGAAAACCAACAATAATACCAATTATCATGCATGTTGATTTGATGTATACGCCAGAGTCAACTGCAGCTAACCCCATCTAGTGTGACAAGGCTTTGTTGTTGTATAATTTGGAAGCTCAGTTTTGTTGGTGTTTTCAACCTTCTCTGTCATTTTGGTTCTTTTGTTCTCTTTGGATACCTTTAAGAGTACGCATTATCCCTTCTTTGTTGTTCTTGTTGGTTTTTTTTTTTTTTTTTTTTTAATTTTATAGGAAGAGGATGTCTTATTCTGTCCTTTTGAACCTGATTTCTTTCCTAAGAAACATCCTTTAATAAGAAAAGGATCCTACTGCAATTTTGTTTTGCCCTTTTGTCATGGTCAGACTTAATAGCAAATTCATGTATTTTATGCTTTATATTCCTGTCCATAATTATTCCTGTTTGAAGTTTGATTATCCTTTATATGCATCATGTTCTAGTTCAAGTGCTTAGTCATGCTTTATTCTCTTTTGTATGAAATTTATCTCTAGTCTAAATTTTGTTGATTATTTGTAAGTTTGTCGATTCATCTATCTTAATTACAGCAATAAATTTAAGGACATCTTCAAGTGGACAAAATAACAATTAGTGGAAATCAGGAAATTTAAAAGTGCTCATCAATCAATTAAATCCTTTTGATCAAAGTTTGTATATCTCTGTTAATTAGTCCTTATCTATACTAATCAAGATCTCTAACTTGCAAAGAAAAAGAAAAAGGAAATTTGAAAAATAAATGAAGCATGCCTACTTTTGTAATTGACCGGTTGTGCTTGCATGCAGCTTCTGGTTTCTTAATTCTTTGTTTATTGTCGTACAGCATCTCGTCTAAAGTACTAGGATTTTCCTTGTACAGATTCAGATTTAAAGGGACAGTTAGATCTTGATGTTACGCCTATCCCTATTGATCCAAGTGACTTCCATGGCTCTTTGCGCTTAGGAAATAATGACAAGGACACTAACTGTTGGACTTCACCAAATGGTAGTCGATTTATGATTAGAGGGAAGAATTATTTGAAAGATAATTCTAAGGTGAGTTGAATGTACAAGTTTTTTTTTATTATCCATTAGCGTCATGTGGATATGACTTGGGTGGAATCTGTCTTTCCAAAAAAAAAAAAATGGTAGGAATGAATTTCTTAAGATTAATGCCATACTCAAAATCTCTAAGCCTATTTATCGTTTGTAAAGGGCATTTGGTACTGATCTGATTGAGTGCGGGGAAAAATGAAAACTTAGTCAGTGTTTCCTTAAATGACAGATACTGTTGTTGTAGCACATATTCTTCTATCTCTTTCAAATTGCTTGTCATTTCAGTAGTTCCAATGGAAGAGTGACATTGGTTTCAGGAACAGTGTTGCTTTAAACTCGGCTGAATATTTTGCAAATTTGAATTTTGAAACATCTGTTTTTAAAATCAATTAAATATGAAGGTTGAAACTGTCATTTTTGGACTTGATTTCTGTCTTCCATATTTACTTACATTTATATCTTATATTCTTAAGTTCTGGCTGAATGTCATGGGGATGACGTGTCATGCAGGTAGTCGGAGGAGATCCTCTTCTCAAGCTCATAGCAGTTGATTGGTTAAAAGTTGATAGCAGTGCTGATAAAATTGCACTGCATTCTAGGTCTTTAGTTCAGGTAGGTTTATAGTTTTCTGATTTACATTTGTAATATTCTCACACACCCCTATAACCCCCACCCCAACCCCCGACCAACACACAGCACTTGATGGTATTCTCACCAGTGTCATATTTGGACCATCGTTGTCTTGTAAGTAGTCCTCCAGTTTGACATTGTTTGATTTTTAGTTTGTAGATTGAGTTAGAGAGCATAGTTTGGAATAGTTTCTCCATCACTGCCAATTATGTAACTCATTGTATCTTCTGTGTGCCTCTTCCTTCATGCATTTATTACAGAAAATCTTCTCTTGATAGCAATGATTTTGTCTCCAATATATGTGCAGATTTATATCTGAGCACCTCGCAAATACTTATTTTACATGTTCGGTTCTTTTCTCTCTTTTTCTCTTCCTTTGTACGTTTTATACTTACATAGCATATATATAGCCTTGTTGGCAGGAATAATTTACAGGCTTTTTGTATGTTAGGGTGTTTTCATCTCTATGCGTGTCTCTGTTATGCATACTGCAAAAGCAAGACTAATAATATGCAGTTCAAATTTTGTCTGTTTAGTAGCAGAACAAGGCCTGTTGTTGTTCTTGTTGTATCTTTCACTCCTAAAATTTTATTCTTAATATTCTGGAATTTCTTATCCTGCAATTCAAGAGCAATTACTCCATTCTGACACCTCCCTATCAAATTTCAGTCCGAAGCTGGGAAAAATCTTCCATTTATCCTTGTCATTAATCTTCAGGTATGGATATCGATGCTATTATATTTCTTAGATTTTTGTTGATTAAAAATGAATATAATTTTGCAATTGAAGGGAACTCTGAGTTGTACCCTAAATCATTGATTATTTTGATGAAAAATAGCTACATAAATTGGAGATCCCATGCAACGTCTCTTCCGATGAATCTCAGTGTGAGAGCAAGCATAAACGTAGAAATAAAAGCATGTAATTCTGGGGTGAAAACCTAGATAACTAAGGACATAAATCATCCAACTATTTTCACATAATAAAGACACCTAAATTTCAGATGATTCTCCATAATGAAGGATCAAACCCTAAATATTCAACACTCTCCCTCAAGCTAATAAATAGATGCCCATCACTCCCAGTTTGGACCTTGATTCTTTAAATACTCCCTCCGTCCCTTATTGATCCAATTCTTTGAATAGATTTGTCCCTTTTTATAAGATCCTCTTTGAGTTTGTCTGAGTATTTAATGCAGTATTACCTATTTTACCCCTAATTTAATGTATTTAATACATTCTCTTTCTTCATTTATCTCATTATTACTCTCTCATTTTTATCCATTTATAAATAGGGATATATTTGAAGGAAAAAAACTGCATTTGCTACATATTAAGTGATTTTAACTAATTTTAACTGTTTTCTTAAATCGCGCAATTTAGTTAAAAGGATCTTATGATAAGGGACGGAGTAGTATGATTCTAGATAGGGCCTTAATCAGAACAATATCCATCTGACCCTTTATAGGAGTGTGAATTAGCTCTAGTAATCGATGTTCAATCTTGTTTATAATGAAATGCCAATCAGGCTCCATATGCCCAGTTCTGTCATGATATACAAGGTAATAGCCGTGTGTTAATTGCAAACAAGTTATTACACAGACCTTCACTGGTTCTTCCGCAAACATCTTTAACTCACCAGCAGCTTTTTAAGCCATAGCCCTTCGCAAATGCCTTGAAAGAGTGCTGTAAGCTTAGCTTTAGGGATTATTTCCATCTATGTTGCATCCTCAAGATCTCTGTAATAAAAATCATTTTTAACATTGATCGGTGGAAGGGACAATCTAGATTTCCAGCCAATAAGCCAAATATAGGAGAACCTTGATGGTATTAAATTTTGAAACGAGCACAGGTCTCTTGATAGTCCATACCATGAGTTTATGTTAACCCTTTTATAAATCTAGCTTAAATAGTAGAGGGCAGGAGAGAAGCTGGTGGAGGTAAAGAACTTAAAATCAGGCCATTGATGTGTTTAGTCAAGGCATCTTTTACTCAAGTAATTTCAAAATTAGCGTAGCAGGTCCTTTGTTCAATTGGAAAAAATAGAAGGACGTTGCCATCCACACATAGGTGAGGAAGTGGGCATATTTGCATTCTTGGAAACTCATAAGAAGAGTTCCAATTTGATCTTAATTGCATATTTGGGCATTTGATATGAGGATTTATCTTTATAAATAAGTTCTCAAGGAGGAATATGTTTATTGCATTTCATTTCAGGTTCCAGCTAAACCAAACTACAGTTTAGTTCTATACTATGCAGCTGATAGGCCGGTAAATAAAAATTCTCTATTGGGCAAGTTTGTGGAGGGCAATGACTTGTTTCGAGAAACAAGATTCAAACTTATTCCAAGTATAGTTGAGGTATGAGATTCCCAACGCTGTGGAACATGTCCTGTTTGTTGCCTGAAAGCATTCAGCAGCCGACAGTTTTTTCAATAAACAGGGATATTGGATGGTCAAACGGGCTGTTGGAACAAAAGCTTGCCTTTTAGCAAAGGCTGTAAATTGTAAATACTGTAGACAAGATAATTTTTTGGAGGTAAAGCTACCTCAGCACATTTTCCTTCTTTTTTTCGTCAATAGCATTTTCACATCTATTTACCAGTCAGCTTTGATAATGAGCTTTAGATATTTGTGCTGAATATCATTAAGTGTCAATTTCACATGAAAACGTAGCCGCGTTGGGCCTCTTGTATCATGAAATGTTTTGAATTAAAGTTTTTGCTTTATACAATATCATGTTATCTCGTATTATCTAGAGTTTTAGATCATCATGCTTTTTCCTAATGCATGTTCATGCATCAAATTCTTTGGCCATGGCATCTGCATTGTGTAAAACATGATATTGGGACCATACTTGATAACTTCCTTTGCATTCTATATTTTATAACGTGTAATTTATATTTATAAAAAACAGTTAATTTCTCTAATTTTTAACTTCTAAATAATTATTACACTATAGTTGATGATTATGCTTTTAGCATAAATCTTCCCTCTGGATATCCTATTTCCAAATTCCACCTCAAAATGTAAGTGTTTCTTGAATTAAGAAGATACAGATTAATGTCTAGTAAAAATAAGGTGCACATTTAATCTTTCCTTTTTTTCCTTTGCCTATAACATCTTCTTACCTTCAAAACACAGCGTAATCCTTGATTATAAAAACATATTATGTTATGTTGATAGTACAAGTGTTCAAAATCCCGCCTTTTCAAATATCAAACTTCACCCAGCAATTTGCTAGATGACCATGGTAATGAATCCGAAATCCAGCTGCCAGTCCATATACATCATACAAATCCAGATGACATGAATGTCATAGCATCTGCCCATTTGGCACGCAACTCTTTTAGTAATACTTCGTAAATTTTATACACTGCACCGGATCAACTACAAACACATTTGGTAGTTGAACCTTAAGCATTCACTGTAACTATGTTTGGAGATTGCTTGCACTCGAAAGATTCCCATTTGAACATTGATAGTAAAATTGTTTGTAATAATGTGCTCATTTGTTATTTGATTGAGCTGGACTATGCCTGCAACTTCGCTGCCATTGTCACATCTGTATCGTGTTATAGATTACAATGTCATTCAATTTTCTGTCCTTTTCAGATAGATGTGGACATTGGATCATCGTCCGTAGCTAGAAGTGTCATTGGCCTGGTTCTGGGATATGTTACGAGCCTAGTCGTTGACCTTGCTATTTTAATAGAGGTATGTGCCTCTCTAGAAATAAATTTATGGATTAAGTATCGTTGTGTGCTGTCATCTATCCCTGTCCCTTGTGTTGGACTTGAGATTCTGCACGAAGATGCTCTAGCAACAAACCCACCGGGGCCACAATATAGATTTAAGATTTTTCTATTAAAATGTTGATAAAAGCACAATAAGAACATATCACAGATCACAGGAGGAAGAAAGAAGAGGTAAACTCAAACGTGTTTTATATGTCATACTAATTCTTGTCAGCTAGTGGACTGTTGACTAGTAATAATGAATCAGTCAACTCTTCGTGGTTTGCTGTACATAAAATTGCTTGCACTTTCACTTATAAAAATAGTAAGAAGTGATTCACGGAATATTGTGCAGATGGATATTACTAACTGTTGCCACCTTTGCAGGCAAAGGAAGAGGATGAGCTGCCCGAGTTCATTCTTGGAACTGTTCGATTAAACCGTTTAAAACCCGACACTGCTGAAAAGTTAGAAGTTTGAGGTGTTTTAGCTAAACAAGTAGTTGAACCATACGAAGCTTCACGAGTTCTATAAAAGAAGTTTCTGAACCGCTGGAAGTTTGAGGTGTTCTGGCAAAATTTTTACCTCTGGTTCGACTCCATGATCAACGCAAATCATTTTGATCTGCATCAAGAATTCAAAATGAGAAGAAAATGATCTGGGTTGGTTTTCTGGGGATGCTTCTGTCTCCCGTTCTTGTTTTTTGTTTCCCCTTCATTGTAATTCATCCCCTGTTTTTTTTTTTTTTAATATCTTGATTCATTTATTTTTTGTTTTAACCAGCATCTTGATTCATTTGTTTATTGGAAATTAACACTCGAGGTTATAACCCGACACTGCTGAAAATTTTCTGGGGATGCTAATCTCTTGGTTAGTTTTTGTATGATGCTGTGAAAATTTAAATCCAAAATATCTTGTTAAATATCAGCTAATCAGCATCCTTTCTTTTCTTTTCTTTTCTTTTCTTTTTTCCCTTTTTCCTTTTTCTAAACAGCATCAGCATTCTTTGTTAGTTGACCATCCTTATACTGTATCTTTATTCTATTTCAAATAATAGTAATAGTTCCCAACAAAACAAGGTATTCATGCATGCCTCTCTTGAGATTGAAGCCCCCTTCCCAATGTTTGGAAACAGACTGCTTGTCCAAACCAATATTTTTTAGGGATAATATAAATTTTAGTCATAAAAAAAAAAATTTTGGAGGAAAAAACAAAATGATATTATAAAATGTTAAAAAAGTTAAAATATGCAACAGTGGAAAAGGTACAACCAGATTCTAATTTTTCTAAGAAAAAAGATGCGGAGATCCTACCGAAGACAATATTATGAAAAGACGAAAGCAAATTTTTTTTTCTCTCTCACAATTATCGATTGAGTCCTCGAAATTTGATTTAGTAAAACTCAATCTTTGTAATTTATTGAGTTAAGGAATTATAAGAATTAAATTGTACCAAATCAGGAAACTATAAATGGCTAAATTATTTCAAGTTAAGAAATTTTAAAGTCTAAGTTACATTACATCAAAGTTAACGAACTAAATTGGTTATCGGAAAACCATTAAAAACTAGGTTTTATTTATCCTAATTTTTACTTCATATGTTGAAGTATTATGTGAAAATTAAAAAGCCATTACTAATGATTTATGGCTTAGTATTCAAATCCATATAAGTAAATATTCATTCTTATAGTCAACTAATAAATTCATTTGCAAAACATATACGTATTAGCAAATGTGTAATGAAAGTGCTTGTATAATGCTGAAATACAGGGACGAAAAACTTATCCCAATAATAAGTCCACTTTCTACAAACAAAAAGTTTTTATAAAGCTTTGGACCAATTCTGATTAGTTCAGTTTGGTTTTCATAAATTAGGGTTTTGTTTTCCTTTTTTTGTGTTGTCTTCCCTCCTCTATCCTTTCTCACCTCCTCCCTCCCTCGTTTACATCGATTATATAAGGAAAAAAAATTTTATTCTAAGACCACTATAGCTAATTAATATCAGTCAACTCTCAAAATATTTCAAAATTTCAGTCGATCTTCTAAGATCAAAATGAAGTTAAAATTTAAGGATAGAATTATAATAATACTCCTCCTTTCTATTTCTTTAAAAAAAATATTAATTGTCAGAGGCGCTTAGGTGGCAACGACGGAGGTCGGAGCTCTTGATAGCATGAGGGCTTTTTTTTTTTTTTAAGTAAGGTGTCCAAAGAAAAGTTTGAACCAATCACTAAGCGAACCAAACCATTTAGTCATATGATGTAAAGAAAAATACATATAACAAAACAAATACAAATATCTAAGTGTAAATAAATAAGTGAAAAATAACAATTTACAAGTAAAATTTGGTAATTTACAATAAAAATTTGACAATTTATAGGTAACATAATCAAATTCATAAACCCAAACACAAGTGTTTAGATGTAAATAAGCAAGTGAAACTCAAAGATTTACAACAAAAATTTATAGATTTACAATCCAAATTTGATTATGTATAAAAAATAGAAGAGAATTCACAACCACAAATATAAGTATTTAAATGTGAATGAACAAGTAAAATTCAGCGATTTACAACAAAAATTCATCGATTTACAACCCAAATTCGGTAATTCATAAGAAACATGAAGACTTATATTTAAGGTTGTGAATTTTCTTATAAGTTTTGTAATGTTTATATTTCTTGTGAATTGCTGAATTTGAGTTGTAAATCGTTGAATTTCATTTATTCATTCACACTCAAATACTTATATTTAAGGTTGTAAATTCTTTTATATTTTTTGTGAATCGCTGAATTTGGGTTATAAATCACTAAATTTTTATTACAAATCTTTAAATTTCACTAGCTCATTTACATCTAAACACTTACATTTGAAGTTGTGAATTCTATCATGTTACTTATAAATTATTGAATTTTTATTGTAAATTACTAAATTTCATTTTTTATTTATATTTGAGCACTTGTGTTTGTTTTGTTGTATATATTTTTCTTTGCATTATATGATTAAATAGCTTGATTGGCTTGGTGGCACATTATTTTTGATGGGCCAAAGGGTCATAAGTTCAAACCGCAATTGACTACCTTATCGACCTCCGTGGCCAGAGTTTTGGTAACAATTAAGATTTATTTTTAAAAAAAATTAAAAAGAGGGGTACTATTGTAATTTTACCCTTAAATTTTAATTTTATTTTTGTTCAAGGGTTAACTAAAATTTTGAAATGTTTTGGGTTGAATGATGTTAATTAGCTACAATGGTCTTAAAATGAAATTTGCCCATTATGCAATTAGTTAACTCATATCTTTTCGGAATTCAAAAGTTATATTAAAAGAATGCTTATCTAAAATTAATCACAAGCTACTACTCATTGGATTCTCTCTCCAAAGCGAAAAGTTGAAAGAGAAGGTATCATATTCGAAGACTTTTTATTCATTAATGGCAAACACCACTCACACAAAGAAACTTCACAAAGGTCCCACCTTGTTCACAAAAGCAGCCCCATGATATCTAACTATACAGCACCTTTTTCTTTTTCCATTTGACAGTTAGATGGAATGCTGATCTTTCTTCTCTAGATTGGTCATTTCCTTTGCTAGGAGGTTCTTTCAATTTCTCCCACCACCTTGTGCTCTGCAAGTTACAATGGAGATTTTCAAGTGTTTGTACTTGAATCTTCTCGCCATTCTCATGTTATTCATGGCAGTTTTCTCAATCGATCCCTATTCGGAAGCACTTCTGAGCCTGAAAGCTGAACTTGTAGATCATGATAACAGTTTACATGACTGGGTGGTGCCATCTGAAAGAACCTTAACAAGAAAATCCTATGCATGTTCTTGGACTGGTATCAAGTGTAACAAGGATTCTACAGTTGTAACTTCAATAGACCTGTCCATGAAGAATCTGGGAGGATTAATGTCAGGGAAGCAATTTAGTGTCTTCGGAAAGCTTTCTAATTTAAACCTGAGCGAAAACTTTTCTCTGGGCAGCTTCCGGTGGCACTTTTCAACCTCACCAACCTAAGAAGCTTGGATATCAGCAGAAACAACTTTTCTGGTCACTTCCCAGGTGAAATTTCCTCCCTTCAAAATTTAGTTGTTCTTGATGCCTTCAGCAACAGTTTCTATGGGCCATTGCCTGTTGAGCTTTCCCAACTTGAAAATCTCAAGGTTCTTAATCTGGCTGGAAGTTACTTCAAAGGCCCAATTCCATCCGAATATGGTTCTTTTAGAAGTCTTGGGTTTCTTCATCTGGCAGGAAATTTTCTCTCCGGTAATATACCTCAAGAACTGGGGAACCTCAAAACAGTAACCCATATGGAAATTGGCTATAACTCTTACCAAGGTACTATTCCATCCCAATTAGGTAATATGAGCAAGCTTCAGTATCTCGATATAGCTGGTGCGAATCTATCTGGGCCCATACCAGCCTCGCTCTCAAATCTCACCAGTTTGAAATCATTGTTTCTATTCACAAACCAGCTCACAGGACCAATACCAAGTGAATTTAGCAAAATCAGACCTCTTAGAGATTTAGATCTTTCAGACAACCTTATTTCTGGGTCCATTCCTGAAAGCTTTTCAGAGTTAAAGAACTTAAGGCTGCTCAGTCTCATGTATAATGATATGAATGGAACTGTTCCTGAAGGCATTGCTCGTATCCCATCCTTAGAAACTCTTCTCATTTGGAATAATCAGTTTTCTGGAATACTTCCACAGAGCTTGGGCAGGAGCTCAAAACTCAAATGGGTGGATGCTTCCACAAACAATTTGATTGGAAGCATACCACCTGACATTTGTGTGAGAAGAAACCTATTTAAACTCATCCTGTTTTCAAACAGATTTACAGGTGGTCTTCCGCTGTCATTATCCAATTGTTCTTCACTTGTTCGACTTCGACTTGAAGATAATTCATTGTCTGGGGAGATTTCTTTGAAATTCAGTCATCTTCCTGATATCTCATATGTTGATCTGTCTCATAACAAGTTTGTTGGGGGAATTCCCTCTGATATTTCCGAAGCTAAAACACTTGAGTATTTCAATGTCACTAATAATCTGCAATTGGGGGGCATAATACCTGCACGAGTATGGTCTTTGCCACTTCTTCAAAACCTTTCAGCATCTTTTTGTGGTATTTTGGGCAATCTTCCACCATTTGAAAATTGCACATCAGTTTCTGTCATTGAACTAGACAGAAACAACTTATCTGGAAGCGTCCCAAACAATGTTTTCCATTGCCATGCTCTTGAGTATATAAACTTGTCCCACAATAATCTATCGGGTCATATACCTAATGAACTTGCAAGTATCACTGCTCTCAGTGCTGTAGACCTGTCAAATAATAACTTCAATGGCTCAATACCAGTAAAGTTTGGTAGGTCTTCAACTTTGCAGCTTCTTAATGTCTCTTTCAACCATATCTCCGGTTCAATTCCCCAAGGGAAGTCCTTCAAGTTAATGGATAGAACTGCATTTATTGGGAATTCAGA